GTGATATAACTATCTTATTGCTAACGTCACCTTCTTTGATAACTTTTGGTAAATTAAACATGTTTGCTGTCTTTATTTTTTGTGTATTCACTGCATTGTATTGAACAAAATGGTTATGCGGCCCGCGCTCGTCATTCTCTCAGTTATCTGACCCGCTGTGAAAAAAGTTTGGTGACCCCTGATCTAAACCCAACACACTGCTCACATTCCATCACTATATGAGGCCTACTTTGTTTATTCGCTCTTCCAGGCAGCACTGATGAGCCGTGAATTCGGCGGAACTAGTCTGTTGCAACGGGATTAGCGAATCAAAGAATAGATTAGGTCTCAACGTCATATTTTCTTCACTGAAATTCGCATTTTTTCCGAAGTAAAGAAATTGACATATAAATAAAACCGATAGAACCGTAACTAACTCGCGTATTTTACGTGTTAGCCTCATGATAATAAAAATTCATACCGTACATTAAAGGAATAAAAGGCATAGATTTACACTGAAAGGTTGGATTGGTGACGAAGTGCATTTTAGTTTATCGCTTTCTGTCTAGAAAAATTATAATATTACTGTGATTCTAATACTATAGCCTCTTTTCTTTTAGTCAATAATAATGCAACATAGGGATTTTGTTATTCCTTTGAGACACCTCTATTATTTGAAATAGGAGAGTCAGGGAAAATATTTTTGATGTGCTATGTTGTGATTGCTTCCATATCAGTACAATGGCTGAAATAGTTGTGACTTTTACTGTTCCATAACGAGTATAGAATATATCTTTACTGGGATATATTCAGGTAGACGTTTCTACATTCTTGTGTTTTTGTTGTTTGTTATTAAGCACAAAACTACACAAAGGGCTATATGTGCTCTGCCCACCACGGGTATAGAAACCTGGTTTCTAGCAGTATAAGTTCGCAGACACACCGCTGTGCTTTGGGGGGGGGGGCAAATTTTTGTGAAGGTATTTTGCATGTAGTACGATGTTCTTAACCGAATATTGAGAGGTCATAAACAGGTGCTAAAAGGTCATAAATAGGTGCCAATTTCCTTTACTCTGACAAAAGGTGCAATGTTTAGAAATACACTGAGTGGTCACAAGTAAATAGACACCTAATTTTTCGTTATTTAACTGATTTATGCTAACTAATTTGGG